GGAATTCAGGGAGGGGAACAGCATTGGGGAATCAGGGAAGGGGAACAGACACGTTGCTGTCCTTTTGTTCTTCAGTCTAGTTGTGGAGGACATCGCTTCACTGGCCCATGTTGGTATTGTGATCATTGCGCTCTTCCCAGGTGAGGCAGTGGCTCGCCGGCCATTAAATGGCCGCTCGTGGCAGCTCATGAAAACTCATGCCAGCTGTCGGCCAGCCCCACTGCAGCCTATGCCGCCGTCACTGGCGACTCACGGCAGCCCAGCTCCAGGTTGAGCTGTTGTTCACCATCTTGGCTGTAGAGGGCGCAGCGTCACTGGCCAATGTGGGACCCGGACAGGCAGCCCTGCTGCTCAGAGCTCACACTCCCAAGGCAACTCCTAACCAATGTGCCGCTCGGCTGGCCCCCACTCATTGCTTTTTGATAGACAAAATTCTCAACTTGCCTATGACCCCGCATGATCTTGCCAATTTATACCAAGAATGTCTTTCTTTCTTACCTCAGTGGTCTTATTTCTTGCTGTGTTCTCTCCTGCCATAAGGCTTTTATTTATGCTGTTTTCTCTGTGTTAAATACTCTTCCTTCTCCTCTTTGCCTCTTTAACTTTTAGCTTTTGTCTGCTCTTTCTAACACCAGCTTAACCAACACTTCTTTCAAACAAGTCTCACTCCAACTCTGACTAGGCCAAATTCTTCATTATAAGCTCTCTACACACTTTGTGTTCCTTCATAGCTCTTGTCATTGTAGCAATTTTGCATTGATTGGTTTCTTATTTCATACTTGTCTCTCTAACTAGATTAAAAGTACCATTAAGGGCAGGAACCATGTTTGTTTTTACGTACATTATCCCAGCACCTAGCATGGTTCTTGATATGTAACAGACCCTGAGTAAATATTTTGAATGTATGTGAATGAGTGAATGAATGCATAGTTCCTGCTCTCCAGGAGGTCCCAGTCTAGTGGGAAAATAACAATTGTAATTCAAAATGAGAGGGTGCTCTAATAAAGATATCAGTACAATTTTTAAAGAGGGGAGCTACTGATCAGTGAAATCCCAAAGCCTAGAAACCACCACTTCAGGTAGAGAGAGAGAGAGAAAGAGAGAGAGAGAGAGAGAGCGAGAGCGAGAAATGTTTAGATATGTACTTTGGAAAATTTCCCCTGGCAACAGGGTGGAAGATGGATTATACCAGACTAAGCCCAGAGTTGAATTAGATAAGAGATTATGTCAATAGTCCTGGTGAGAGACGATCTGAATTCAGTTAGGAGCCATAGGGAAGAAAGCATAGATAAGATATGAAAGATATAAAAGTGTTTGGATCTATTGGATTTGTGACATATTTTATACGGGTGAAGGAGAGGATTTAGGTGACTGAGTGGTGCCCTTAATCAGAGTTGATAGTATAGGAAGTGGAACTAATTTTTGGGATAAATGGATTGAGTTACATTTGAGGCATATGATTCTGTAAAGTACCATAGTATTATAGCTTTATTTATTATTTTTAAATGCCTAATGTTGTTAGGACTTCTTAAAACGTTGTCTTCCCTTGACTTCAGAATACCACATTTTTCTGGTTTTCCTCCTATTTCACTGGCTACTACTCAGTGCCCAATACTGGCTCCTCCATCTGACCTGCAAGTATTGCCAAATCCCAGGGATTAGTCCCGGGTTCTTTTGGTTCTCTCCTCTACTTTTTCTCCAGGTGATTTCATTGTCTCATTTCTTTAAATACCTTCTATGCACTGATGACCTCTCCCCAGCCTCTCTCTGAATTCTCCAGACTAGTTAGTGTACCCAACTGCTTACTGGATGTTCCTACTTAAATGTCCAAGAGGCATCTGAAATATAAGAAGTCCAATAACAGAACTGTTGATTCTCTTCCCTTCCAAGCCTGTTTATCCCATAGTCTTCCTCATGATGGTAAATGGAAATAAATCTACCCAGCTGCTCAAGTAAAAAAAGCTGGGAGTCACAGCATCTATGTCTAAAGTACGCATGAGTTTAGTACCATTAACTACATCTCAGGCTAAATGTCCTCAGGATTATGTGCACGGAAAGGGCATAGTTTCACTGATCTTTCTATTGTCTTTTTAGTTTCTATTTCACTTGTTTCCACTCTGATATTTGTTATTTCTTTCCTTCTACTAACTTCGGGCTTCATTCATTCTTTTTTCTTTTTTTCATTCTTTTTTAGTTCTTTGAAGTGTAAAGTTTAGGTTGTTTATTTGAGATATTTCTTGTTTACTAATATAGGCATTTATCACTATGAACTTCCCTCTTAGAACTGCTTTTGCTGCATCCCATAAGTTTTGGTATGTTGTATTTCCATTTTCATTTATCTCAAAATATTTTTGGGTTTCTCTTTTGATTTCTTCTTTGACCCATCAGTTTTTCAGTAGCATGTTGTTTAATCTCCATGTATTTGTGAATTTTCCAGTTTTCTTCTTGAAATTGATTAGATTCTAGTTTCATACTATTGTATTTGGAAAAGGTGCTTGGTATGATTTAAATCTTATTAAATTCATTAAGGCTTGTTTTGTGGTTGAATATATGATATTTCCAGGAGAATGTTCCATGTGTACTTGAGAAGAATGTGTATTCTTGTCACTTTTGGATGGAATGTTTTGTATGTATCTGTTAAGTCTAACTGGTCTAATGTGTTCTTTAAAGCTGATGTTTCCTTATTGATTTTAGGCAGGAAAGAGCTTGTGGCAGAGCTTGTGGGCAATGGGAGAGGTAGGATATGAAACTGGAAAGCTGGCCAGATAAGAAGGCCATGGTCAAGAGTTCCGATTTTTATGTTAAATTTCAAAGGAAGCCATTGGAGTTTTAAAAATAGGTCTGTAATATGCTCTGACTTGTTTATTTTTTAAAACAACCACATTAGCAATTGTGTAGAAAATTATTTAAGGGTGTCAGAATGGTGGTAGGGAGACTAGGCAAGTCATGATGGTGACTTGGGCAAGATTAATAGAATGGGGATGTGAGATGTGGTAAGTCGAACCAATAACACTCAATGGACCGAATGTAAGGAAGAGGGAGGAAAGCAAAGAAATAAATCAAGGCTGACTCTTAGTATCTATGTGTGTATGTGTGTACATGTGTGCACACCATAGTTCAATGAATCTACATTTGGACAATACGTATAATTTCCAATATTTTGCAATAACAAATAATGCTACAATAAAATTAGATTCATTTCCCATATCATACATAAGGATAACTCCAACATCGATTGGATCAAACATTTAACTATAAGAAAATTAAACTATGCAGTACTAGAAGAAAAGATGAGTAAAGACTTCTTTAATCTGGGTGTAGAGAGGGGCTAAGTATGACTTTTCTGTCATTCAAGTATTAGGTCAAAGTTCTCTTTAAGGAGGCTTTTTCTGGCCCCACAATTTAATGTTTTATTCCCCATCCTTCCCCTAGTCACTCTTTATACATTTACCTGTTTTTAATTTCTTCATAGCAATTTCTTATCAGCATAATAACAATTTCCTTCCTCCTTCCCTCCTCTCAATCCCTCCTTTCTTTTTCTTCCCTCCCTCATTTATTTACATTTCTGACCCTCCAGATTGTAGGCTTCATCAGAGAAGGAATTTTATCCTTTTTATTTACTTCTATATCCCCCGTGCCTGGAACAGTCTTACAGCCCTGGCACATCATATAACCACTCTGTGAATATATTGCTATTTTGTTCAGCTCTGTTTTTCTTTTTAGGTAGATTGGAGTAATAAGCAGAGTGGTGGGTGGGTAAAGTTCTAGAAAGCAACAGGAGAAGCAAGAAAGAGACCGAGTAATGAGCTAAATAAAGTGAAAATAATGGGATGGGTGTAATTTAGCAAAAATTACATTAGTACAAATTATATGCCAATACTCAACTCTTGATTTTTCTGGGCTAATAGAAGGGAAAAGAAATATTAATGAATCTAAGGCAAGAGGGTACTTTTGAAAAATGATATTTGACTTTGGAATTCAGCTAGAGGTACATGAGCCACAGATGGTCATCACCCCCTCTCAGGACCAAGTTCATTTTCAGCAGTCCAGGTGGGACCATTAATGAAGTGAGTTAATGAAGTGAGTAGACCAGGCTGCCTTGGTATTGCCCTGCTCAATCTCCACAGCTAGCTTTACACATTCTGCTCAGCACTTTAAATTAAAGGAGTTTCTGGTCAAAGTAAATTATAGACTGGAAGTTTTCCCCAGAATAGATAAGCGCTCATTCAGTCCGAAACTTATGTTCCCATAGTTTTGCCTTCCTATATATTCACCATCTCCAACTCAAATAAGCCTTATCCATTCTTCTGGACTCAGCCCAAGTTTCAGTTTCTGTGAAGATCTTTCCAACAGCTTTGGGTCCAGATGAATTTTTCTTACTGAAACTTCTGTGATATTCATGTTGTATTGCTTAGAAATTATTACATGGACATATGTCTTGCCTCCTTATTTGGACTATAAACTCCTAGAGGTTATAGAATATGTACATCATTTATTTTGTGGAATCTAAAGCATTCCCAACCCAGCTCTGGGCTACTGGAAGGTGTTTGAAATAGTAAAATCAGGTCATTGGGGCCCTAGTCACATACTCGTTTTCTTGACCAAAGTGGAGAATGTACTTGAGCCCTCTAGGATGAATCTTGTTTGGGTCTTTCTCCATAAAAAGCATTAATGACATTTTGCTTTTTACTTCTGCCATTAATTTTAAAAGAAAATTAGTTTTGATTTACACATGACATAATGTCCTGCTTTTCAGAGTGAAAACACATGTGAGTCATTTTTGTTATGAATAATTTAGGATACTCAGGGATATTCTATTTCTGGATAAAGTAGTTCAAAATAGGATTTTGGTAATGTACGTGTGATACATATTTAAAAGCAAAAATAAAATATCTTCTTGAATGGTTGCCTCTGTAGTAAATTCAGTCATTCAAATTGTTTTCTCTTAAGACCCAAAAATGCTAGGGCATTGCCAGCTTTGAGTTTATCCTGAAAAAGAAAAGAAAAGGTTTTATTTTAAAGCATTATTTATGGTTATCTTTAAAATACTTTATTGAGTGTATTTATCAGGTTTTATAAAAATCAGTTCCCCAATGTGAGAGAAAAATATTAGCAGGTTAAACAATGACTTTCTTACCAAAATCCTCTTGACCCATTTTTTCCCCCACTGTTTTAAATCTAAGTTTGAAGCTTAGTTGTAGGAGGAAAGGAGGAGAATTATAAGGGGAAGAGCCCTCTTAGGAAAATGTCCTTCTTTGGAAACCTCTACAGGACTCTCCAATGGATTTTAAGGACTATCTGGAGGCAAAACCATGAAAAGGTGCCATTTAGGACTGGGACAGAGAGCTGGGAACAGTGCCCGGAAGTCATGTAGTCACCCCCCAGCTTCTGGGCATATGTGTTGTCCTTTCACATGGCTCCATAGAAAAGGTAAGCTCGTTTGGAGCAACAAAAGTGACAGAGATGAAGAGTCTCAGAATATTTTACAAATATATACATTTATCAATTTCACATGAGAAAAGGACTGCCAAATTTTTCTTCCCTTTCTCCTCAGCTATAGACTAGATCAACTCCACAGAAAGAACTCATGTGATTTGAGGGGTAACTCTGTGATATCCTGACTGACACATGTCCAGGTTGCACAGGGCAGCTGAGGGTGGAAGGAAACCTGTATGGTTTGCATAACATTCATACCATTAATGTATATCTATATATCATGATCACTTCAAGGTTCTTACACAGCTTTGAAGAATGAGTGGTTTGGGGTAGGATTTTTCCCTGATCCACATTTGGGCCATCCTCCTCAAAAGGAAGATCTTGTTTTACTCCTCTGCATCTATATGGTGGAAGGCATCTGCTGTCTACCTCCCAGTGGTGTTTTCATCAAGTGGATTTATTTCATTTAAAAAAATTTTTAAGTAAAATTTACATTTACATGGCTCAAAATTCAAAATGTATAAAAGGGATATTATCTTTCCAGAGTTACCAGTTTCTTGTCTGCTCTTCCAGAGATATTTTAAGCATATATCAGCAAATACTTATATTTAGGTACGTAGATACTCTTTTTCATAAATGGGTAGTATACTATACACAAATGGAAGTATACTATACACATTGTTTGGCATCTTGCTTTTTAAACTTAATATACCTTGGAAATGGATTTTTAGTATTTTCTAGGGCTATATAGATTCCCTTGAATGGATATATTACTTATATAACTATTCCCTTGTAAATTGTTTTCAGTCTTACTACAAACAATGTTGCAATGAGTAACCTTGTACAAAATGTCACTTTGAATTTGTGACAGTATAAAATTGTTATGCAAGATTTTTTTAAACTTCAAAGTGATAAGCACATAAAATTAATAAAAGGCATAAAATAATAAAATTATCCCATTAAACTCTTAGGAGACTTGGGATAATCTGGTTTTGGTTTAATTTTGATTCTTATTACAGCTTCCTACTTTAATAAGTAAATATTTAAAAATTCAAGACTTTTAGTGCCTTAAGGTTGGTAAGTGCCAAAGGGCATACTTTCTGTATAAAGCAGTTGGAGATTTCCCATTTAATAACTTACAGCTAGTAAACAACGGAATGCACTCTTCTTGGCATCTGTTAATGTGCTTCAGGCCTACTGAGAAGATTTGATGAGCTATATCCCTAATGATTAAAGCAGAGAATTAAGAGTCTAAGAGAACTTTTGGATTCTAGTTTAGAAGCAAGCCAAGAATTATACAAAAGGATTATGACTAAGACTTTTGTAAGATTTGTTAAGAGTTTATATATCACTGTGTTTTTATTTTTGGCCATCCCTGATCCTAGTAGTGATTGTTGGTAAAACCATAGGAGCTTGTCTTGTTGGGAGGAGGGGATGGAATGGGAAAGGGACAGCAGAGGAGAGGGAACCTGAGGACAATGCATCTCATTTTAACTCCTCTTAGTTCAGGAGCCTAAGGGGTAGAATAGGCATGGCAGCAATATGGCACATTTCCTACCAACCCTAAAGGTCAAATGTCGAAACACAAAAATCCAGTTACTTGAGGGTTCTGGTCCCTTGGGTCCTTTTTAATCAAGACTTTAGTCTCAATATTCAAATTACTAGAATCATTACAATTTTTGAGAATGGTAGATTTGTAAAAATATTAAAGGAAAAAATGAGACATTTTTCTTATTATTCATCTAACATGAAAACATAAATATTATTATTATGATACGCTTCCTTACAGTTTTCTTTCTTGGCTTCATGAATTCAGTCGTACTAGGTTGACTTTCAGCTTTTTAACTTTTCTTTAAAGATTTTTATTAAAAATATCGTTAGCATACAATATTATGTTCGTTTCAGGTGTACGCAGTAGTTATTCAACATTTATATACCTAAAGAAGTGATCACCATAAGTCCAGCAAACATGTGACACCATACCATGCTATCACAATCGGCTTTTTCACTCTTTTCTGCGCTTAATAGTTCAGATATTTCTGGAGATTGAGTAACAGTTCTAAGAATATTAAGTGGAATGGTTCTCTGTTCTTTGTTATCACATATCAAAGTACTCTGAAACCAAACACAATTAAAACAGGAAAACTGAGGAAAAAGACCATGAAGTAAAAGGCATATACCTTTGTTTCTGCATCAAATTCTTCCATGGATTCTATCAATTTTCCAGGTTCTAGCTCACCTAGTGGAAAGGGGTAATCGGTTCCCAAAATGACTTTATCCTGTAAAAAAGGAAAGGAAATATATTTTTATCTATAATTTTATAGAACATCAAAGAACCTCCTTTAAACTTAAATATACTAATTATTACAAATATCAATTTGTTTCCTGATTAATGGAAACAAACTGCTAAAATTTTAAAGATGAAATGAACTTAAAACTTATTTTGACATTTTCTCCAGCAGGTGTCGCTGTTAGGTCTGTTAAAGTTGCAAATCAACCCCCACCCTCCCTTCTTGTTTTCCTCACTAACTGAAATAAAGAATACTCAAATATAAAAAGCAGGCATTTATTTAATAAAACATGCTTATGTCTTCAGATGAAATTAAGGATTCTGTATTCCTTAGAATGATACATTGCAATCGATCTCACAATTTTTGAAAACATAGTGGAGTTAAAAAGGAAAAAATAAACAACTGGATGAAAACAAACAAGCAAACAAACAAAAAACCAACCCCCAAACAATTCCTATCTCTATAAACTGGATTGGTGTCTGTTTTTTGTATGCTGTAACTTCAAATTTCCATTTGACACTTTGCACGTTAAAGTACACAGGCTTGTCCATCTACAAATATATAAAGCAGTATGTCAGGCAATGTGCTGGAATCTAGATTACCCTGGGCAACAAAAGAGAAATGGTTCCTATCTTCAGGGAACTCATAATCTACTAAGAAAGAGCGACATTAGATCAATAACGGCAGTCTATCATAGTAAAATAAGAAAAACACATTTCAACCAGAAATTTTACTTCTAAACACATGTCCCTTTCATATGCAGTAACAGACATGTATACAAGGAAATTAAATGTTATTTTAGTGGCAGAACACTAGCAAACTAAATTATAGCATGTCCAAAAATATAAAGGACTGAGGGATACTTCCATATGCTGAAATAGAACAATTGCCAAGTTATATTGTAAAGAGGAATGATCTTGGAGTTATAAGAGGGAAAAAAGTCTAGGACAATGTATCTGCTATACTCATATTTGTGTTTTTAGTAAGGGACCTATAGATGAATACATGTTTGTATATATACAGTCTATTTCAGGAAAGGTACCCAAGAAACAAGTAACATTAGTTGCCTCCAGGAAAGAAGAGTAGGATTTGGGGGTGCAGGAGATCCCCCTTCTTTTTTTGAGATGTAATTCACATACCATAAAATTCACCTTTCAAAAGTGTACAATTGACTGGGTTTTAGTACATTCATGAATTTGTGTAATCATTCCCATTATCTAATTCCAGAACATTTTTATCACCTCCAAAGTAAACGCCATACCCATTAGCAGGCACTCCCCATTACCTCCTTCCAGCCCCCAGGAAAATACAAATTTACCCTCTGTGCCTATGCAATTGCCTGTTGTGGACATTTCATATAAATGAAATCACGCAACATGTCACTTTCTTTCATTTAGTATAAGGATTTCAAGGTTCATTCATGTTGTAGCCTGAATCAGTTATTTTTTAGGCTGAATAATATTCCACTGTAGAGATATACCGCATTTTGTTTATCCACTCAGATGATGGACATTTGGGTTGTTTCTGCTCCTTGGCTATTATGATAATGCTGCTCTGAAAGTTTGTGTACAAGCTCTTGTGTGAACATATGTTTTCATTTCTCCTAGGTATATATATAGGAATGGAATTGCTGCATCATATACATCCATGTTTGACATTTTGAGAAACTATTTTTCACAGTGGCTGCAGCATTCTATTATGCATTCCCACCAGCAATGTATGAGGGTTCCAATTTCTCTAAATCCTTACCAACACTTGTTATTGTCCATCTATTTTATTATAGCCATCATAGTGTGTGTAAAGCGGTATCTCGTTGTGGTTTTGATTTGCATTTCTCTAGTGACTAATTACGTTGAACACCTGTTCATGTGCTCATTGGCCATTTGTACGTGTTCAGAAAAATATCTGTTCAGATCCCTTGTGGCTATGCAAGCTCATTTGTTTTCTTTTGATTGTTTAGTTGTAAGAGTTTATGTTTTCTGAATAGTAGAGACTTACCAGTATATGATTTACAAATACTTTCTTCATTTTGTGGGTTGTCTTTTCACTTTATTGATTGTGTCCTCTGAAGGACAAAATTTTTTCATATTGATCAAGCCTAATTTGATATTTAATCAAGCCTTTTGTTTTCTTTGGTTGCTTGTGCTTTTGGTGTCATCCATATTTAAGAAATTATTGCCAAATCCAAGGTCACAAAGATTTACAACTATGTTTTTTTCTAAGAGTTTGTATTTTAGCTCTTCCATTTTGGTCTTTGATCCATATTGAGTTATTAATTTTTTTGTATGGTGTAAAGAAGGGGTCAACTTAATTTTTTTGCATGTTGATATCCAGTTGTCCCACTACAGTATGTTAAAAAGGCTATTTTTTGCTCGTTAAATTGTATTGGCACCTTTGTTCAAAATCAGTTGATCTTTATATCTGTCCTTATGCAAGTACCACACAGTTTTGATTACTATAGCTCTAGAAAGTTTTAAAATTGGGAATTTGAGTCCTACAACTTCCTTATTCTTTTTCAAGATTGTTTTGGCTATTCTAAGTCCCTTGAATTTCCATATTAATTTTAGGATCAGCCTGTTAATTTCTGCAAAAAAAGAAAAAAGGCACCTGGATTTTTTATAGGGGTTGCATTGAATCTGTAAATCACTTTAGGGAGTGTTGCTATTTAATAATATTGTTTTCCAGTCAATGGGATGTATTTTCATTTATTTAAGGCTTCTTTAATTTTCTTTAACAATGTTTTGTAGTTTAATGTCCAAGTCTTGTACTTCTTTGGTTGAATTTATCCTCAGTATTTTCTTCTTTTTGATACTATTGTAAATGAAATTGTTTCCTCAAATTCATTGCTAGTATATATAAATACAGTTAATTTTTACATATTAGTATTTATAAATATAAATGCTTTATATTTATAAAATTTATATTTTATTTTGTATCCTACAACCTTGTCGAATCAGTTTGTTAGCCCCGATAGTTTATTTGTGGATTCCTTAGGATATTTTACATTCAAGGTCATGTCATCTGCAAATTTTACTTCTTCCTTTCCACTCTGTATACCTTTTCTTGCCTAATTGCCCTGACTAAAATCTCGAATACAATTCTGAATAGAAGGGGTGAGGGCAGAATCTTTCAGTCTTTTGCCATTAAGTATGATACCATTAATCTGAGTAGTTTCTTATTCCCATGCCCAAGAAGTTGTTCTAGCTCATTTGTACTTTCTCTGTCCTGAAATCAGCCTTTTCTCTGAGCAGCCAAGCTTCCTTATAGTGGAAAATAGTATCTAGAAACCAAGATCTGGGCACTAGATGTGATAATTATTGCTGACGTAGAACTGTGCGTGAGTGCGTGCGTGTGTGTGTGTGTGTGTGTGTGTGTGTGTGTAGGTTTGTGTGTGTACACACAGACACGTCAGTATTTCTATATCTATTTATCTATATTTGTAACTACCTTCTCTATATTTGTAACCAACAGGGAGACAGCTGCATTTTACTAAATTTATTTACTCATTTTGCTCAAGCCTAGCATGCACTGCTGTCATCATCCAACCTCTTTTATTCCCTTCTTGGGAAAAGGTAAAAGTCTCAGGATTGTGGTCTCTGGGTGACCTTTGCAGCATTCCAGTGGACAGAGGTTTTTGGCACCACTCGCTGCTCCTTACAAACCGAGCCTTCACACATCAGGGGTATCACTGCATAAATTACATAAGTGTCTAACTACTAGGCTGTACACCTGAAACTAATATAATATTGAACATCAACTATAACTGAAAAAAAAAACAAAACTAAAACAAACAAACAAACCCAACCTCAAATTAAGTTTTGCTTATGGTGTGAAGTAGAGTCAAGGTTTATTATTTAACCCCATATGGATATCTACTTATTTCAGCATAAAAAGGTTTTTCTATCCCCATTTAATTGCTTTTGCACCTTTGTCAAAAATTAATTAACCCTATAAGAGTGAGTCCATTTCTGTACTTTCCAGTCTATTCCACCAGCCTGTTTGCCTGTCCTCTGCTGATACCACATTGTGTTGACTGCTGTAACTTTACAGCATCTTGAAGTCGGATAGTACAAGTCTGCAACTTTATTTTTCCTTTTCAAAATTATTTTGGCTTTCTGGTCCTTGGCATATCTCTATAAATTTTAGACTCAGTTTGGATTATGTTGAATCTATAGATTAATTTGGAGAGAATTGACAACAATATGGAGTTTTTTGATCCATAAACATGGATATATGTGGGCCTGGTTCTCATGGGTCACTAAGCCCTTTGACCTATATCTTTTCTTGTATCCATCACTTACTCTCCACTTCCCCAGTTCCTCCCTTTACTCGGGCCTTACCATCTCTTAGCTCAGCCAAGTGTGACCTTTGTACTCCTGAAGCTCCCTGTAAACATTATTATTCACAGCACTTCTTAACATTGCTACGAGATAATTTCTTATAATAATAGTAATACTATTTAACATTTATTAATTGCTTACTACATGCAGGATGCTATTCTAAGTCATTTGTGTTCATCGACTCATTTAATCTTCACAACCTTCCTATGAGATGGGTACTATTATTATTATTCCCATTCAGCCGGTGAAGAAACAGATAGATGATAACTAACTTGCTTAGCTTTGCACGGCTACTATGTGGTGGAGCCATCTCATCCACTCAGCTAAGAACTGGGACTGAAACCATGTCTCTAGCTCTGAACCAAAAGCTGGGTGTAGAGTGGAATTAAACTGGGCTAGTGCTATAGTTTTCTAACTAATCTCCCTGGTTCCGGTCTCATCCGTTTTAACCAATACCTAATACTAGAGAGAATGCTATTTTAAAAATATGAATCTGATCATGCCACATCCCTGCTTAAAATCCTTCAATAATTTTCCATTGTCCAGGAGGTAAAGCCCAAATTCCTTAGCATGGCACTAATCATCCCCAATAAATGTGAGAAAGAGAGTGGTCCCAAACCTGAGCTAGGGCAGAACTTTGTGGTCTGA